TTCTTGGGCCGTCTTGAGCCGTCGGAGAGCCGAAAAGGCGCAAATGCCAAAATCCTTCAAAAACCAAGGGAAAATCAATGATTTTGGCCTCTTCGGACTCTCCTGGAGGACCTCTTGGAGGCCTCTTGGGCCGTCTGGGAGGCCTCTGGGGGGCCTCTTGGGCCGTCTTGGGCCGTCTTGGACTCTCTTGGGCCGTCTTGGAGGCCGTCTTGGACCATCTCGGGCGGACTTGGAGGCCATCTTGGGCCATCTTCGCGATTTTTTGAGGATGTCCCGAGCGAAACGGCCGTTGTTGGGCATTGGCAGACGGATTTTCTGAAATTTGCGGGTGGCCGGCGGGACGGGCCGAAGCCCACTGGGGAGTTTTTTTAGAAAAAGAACCAACACCAAAACCTGAAACGTCCAGCATGCCGTGCACCCCTGCAAGCAGGGGGCGGCGGATCCTAGTGGCCTTCGGCCCATGCTGCCACCGTGTCTGGGATGTGGGCCTGAGGCCTCTTGTATATGTGTTGGGGTGTCGTGGGGAGCCTCTCGGGAGCCTCTTGGAGGCGGTTTGGGAGCCTCTTGGGGGCCTCTTGGGGCCTCGTGGGGTATCTTTTGGGCTTCTTGGATGCCTTTTGGGCGCGTCTTGGGCGCCTCTTGGGGCCTCTTGTAGCAGATCGTGGCCTTGAGGGCGCGACTTCGGCGTGATTTATAATGGATCGTGGCTTCGAGGGCGCGAATGTGGCGTAATTTACGCGGGATTGTGGCCTCAGGGGCGCGAACGTAGTGTAATTTACGAAAGATCGTGGCCTCGGGTGCGCGAATGTCATGTCATTTACCAGGGATCGTAGCCTCGGGGCCACGGCGTAATTTACACGGGATCGTGGCCCAGAGGCGAGAACGTGGTGTAATTTACGCGGGATCATGGTATCAGGAGCGTGAGTACGATTTATTTGACAAGGATCGTGGCATCGAGGACGCGATGCAATTTACGTGGGATCTTGGCCTCGGGGCGCGAACACAGCGCTATTTATAAGGGATTATTGCGTCGGGAGCGCAAATCTCATGTATTTTCAGATGTCCCGAATCGGAGACGCTAGTCAGGGTGGTTTTCGGCTCCCCACCCCTCGCGCGGACAGTGACAATTTACAGTGCGAAGCAGAAAGCAATATTGGAACATTGGAAACTGGAAATTGGAACTGGTGCAGGGAGCAGCAAACCTAAGCCTCGCAGCTTGATGGCCCCGCAAGGGGGCCGGAGGATTGTTTTGTATGTAATGTCGTATGGGAGATTGCGTCAAATCGGCTCCAGAGTGGCGGGGTTGTTTTGTTGCGATGCGTGTGACAAGGGGTGTCGGTGGTCCCCAGGAAACAGGTTACAACAGGAGCAGACACCAGAAAAGCATTCTAGTACGCCCACTCCGTGCAGACACGGTGGCGGACATTTCAATGATGCATGTGTGTGCGTCTGTTTTCTATATAGACTTACAACTGTACATACCTCTATGTTTGAGTGCATGGACGCATGCAGGTATGTATGTGTGTATGTGAATGTGAATGTGTAAGTGTAGATCTAGTGTGTGTATGTGTATGTGTATGTTTATGTGTATGCGTGTGTATCTGCGTATGTGTAACAACTGTGTGTATATTAAGTGCCACTCATGTCTCCCCCCCGCACGCACACATACACGTACACACACACACACACGCACATACACACAATCATACACGCACACACGCACACACACGCGCACGTTAGCTACGCTGCGCAACAGAGCGTCGTCTTAGCGGTGCCCCCCTCCTCCCTCCGCCTCCCTCCTTTCCTCCCGCCTCCTCCTCCTCCTCGTCCTCCTCCTGCTCCTCTCTCACCCCATCCTTCATGTTTCTCGTCGTCCTGCTCCTCCTTCTCCTCCTCCTCCTCCTCCTCCTACTTCTCTTCCTCTCCTCCCCTGAGATCCGACGTTGCCAACATATTGCGACATTGCCAACAATGACGAACAGAGCCCTAGGCCACACCTTCATGCCGCATTCTTCGCGGTAAGGCTGCGTGTTGCGCGCAGACAGCACTCCAGGGAGTCCCAGCTGGCCTCAATAGCTCCTCCGAGCAGTCCCAGCTGGCCTCAAGAGGCCTTTCTTTGTGCTGGATCGATCCTTTATTACCCGAGGGGCCCGAAACTGGGCGAACGCGTTTGGTGTGAAAAGCCGCAACGCCCGGATCGCAGGGTCCCCTTATGCTTCCTGTTCTGCCTCCAGCTCCCTCTGGGGACTGTCTCCGGTATCTTATGGGGTGGTCTCCGAGCCTCCCAGATGTAGTTACGCTGGCGACGTGTCCGACCCCCAATGAGTCGTCGGCGGCCCCCAAACGGTGCGGTGAACACACCGTGCGGTGAGTCGGTGGGGATTCGGGGTTACCGCACGGTTTTGGGACTCGGGTCGTTCTCCGAGGACGTCTCGTGCGACAGGGGCCTCCAGGGTCCCAAAACCGTGCGTTGACGGACCGTGCGGTGAGGTCTCTCAGGGTTCCGAGGTCACCGCACGGTTTGTCACCGCACCGTTTCGGGACTCCAAAATGAGGTCTGCGGCCAGACTTCAGGTTGTCTCGCCCGCCGTAGCCGCGCAGGCGTTTGACTTCGAGACGCTGCCGCTCTGCCTCGTGTCCTCGTGTCCCCCCCTGGGGGCTCCCTCCTCCTCCTCCTCCTCCCCCTCCTCCTATCCTCCTCCTCCTCCTCCTCCTCCTCCTCCTCCTCCTCAGGACGAGCTCACCAAGCGCATCCGCCCTTTGGGGGTGCGCATGGCCAAGGAGGAGAAGCACCTTGGGCGTCACCACGGCCGCGGGGCGACGTCGGCGGGTGGGCGCTTTCAGCAAGAGGGCGCTCAAGTTTGCAGCACGACGGGACCGCATCGCGCGCGTCAGGCGCGCTGGCGGGCCAGCCGCCAAGATCGTGCGCCAGGCCAAGGTCCCTTCGCTCCTCTACGGCGTGCAGGTCATGGGCATGGCAGATACCAAACTCGGCGAGCTGCGGCAGTCGGTCGCGACCTCGCTCCAGGGCAACACCAAAGGCAGATCTACGTTCCTCGCCCTGCTGGCGGACGACGTGGACCCAGGCACGCTGGTCAACTCGGCGCCGATTCTGGCCTGGGCGCAGGCGTGGCGGGAGACTTATCGCCAGCCAGAGCTCATCCCCGAGCTGCAGGCGGCATGGCAGAAGTGGGCGCTGCGAGTGGGGCGCGCCAAGTCCCCCTGGCAGCTTGTACGAGGGCCCGCCGGGGCTTTCGTGGCGACGGTGCGCATGCTGGGCTGGATGACGCAGGTGGCGCACTCCATTACCATCGGGGCGGAGGTGCTGGACTTGCGGGTCGTGCCGCTCCACGCCTTGCGGCACTACGTCAAGGGGGCCACCGAGCAGGGCCTCAAGGACGCTTGGCTGGAGAAGTGGGGCGGACAGCTGGGCCTGCAGTCCGTGTTCGTGGAGCCCGTGCGAGCGCTCCTCAGGCGCCCCCTGCGCGGGCGCTGGACGCAGGCGCACCAGACGCGCGTCCGCACCCTCTGGTGCGGGGGCACGTGGCCGCAGCTGCGCCTCTTCCAGAAGGGCGCGGCGGAGAACGACACCTGCCAGGCTTGCCAGGGCGCGCGAGGGACCGACCGGCATCGGACTTTCGAGTGCCCCGCGCGCGAGGCCCACCGCCGCGAGGTGAAGGGGCACCACATCGTGCAGCGGGGCGCCAACCGCTGGCCAGGCACGGAGCAGTTCTGGGGCCGCGGGTTGGCCGACGACCCCGCGGTGGAGTTCGGGCTGTGGGACTTGCCATCGATGGACACCCTCCTGGTCCACGGCGCGTTCGACGGCTTCGTCACGGGCGATGTCTACACCGACGGCAGCCTGCTGTACGGCAGCTGCCGGGCTCTGCGGCGAGGAGGCTGGGCGCTCGTGCAGCTGACGCCCGACATGCAGCTGCGTTTCGCTCGCTACGGGCCCCAGCCAGGGGCGCAATGGCAGCAGGGGATTTTCCGGAGTGAATTGGAGGCAGTTCGGCGCGTGCTGGAGGTGGCCTGCCCGCCGCTCACCATCTGGACCGACTGCCAGAGCATTCTCGACGGCTTCGCGCGCGGCCCAGCCTGGGCCGAGAGGCCGAGCACGATGCATTCTGAGACGTGGAGCCGCTGCTGGGCCCTGATCGCCGAGAACGGTGGCATTGGCCCGAGGTGGATTCGGCTTCAGAAAGTGAAGGCGCACGCGACGCGGGCCCAGCGTCAAGTCATGGGCCTCGCGCAGTTTGCTGGAAATAAAAAAACTGATGAGTACGCCAAGCTAGGAGCCAAGCAGCACGAGCATGTAGCCTGGCAGCGAGAAGCGTATATCCAACGATACAAACTCGTTTCGGATGTGTTAGAGTTTTCCGCTTACGTCGGGTTTCTCGGCCAGGGGCTCGTCGACACCTGCGAGAGTTCGGAACCGCGCAGAGCGGCTCCGAGCCAGTCTCCCGCGCCCCCACCCCCGCAGCCTAGTGGGGGAGTGGAGGCGCCTGCGGGACTTCTACCGCCGCCACCTGGCCTCCCTCTGCCTTCTCGGGCCGATGTGGACGGGGACGGATGTAAGATAGAGCTTGCCCGCGCCAGAGGCCACCGTCTCGTGCGCCTCCCAAGAGTGGTTTTCTGCCGTCGGTGTGCAAGGTACGCCCACGACAGATGGTTCGGTCTTCTGTCTCAGTGTCCTGGGGGCGATCCTCGGAAGATCTCTGGGCGTTTGAACCGGTTGGGGGAAGGGCGACACCCGACCACCAACCGCCTTTTCTGATGCAGCCCCATGTCGCCCAGGAGAGGCCTGGGGGATGGTGCTGTCTCATCGTCGTCGGTCGCGCTCTCTTGCTCATGGCACGGCAGATCAGGATAGCAGAATCCTCGTAGCAGAATCCTCCTCCTCCTCCTCCTCCTCCTCCTCCTCCTCCCGTGCCTTTTCCTCTTCCTCTTCCCTTCCTCCCTCCCTCCTCCTCCTCCTCCTCCATCTCCCCTGGGGCCAGGCCAGCTCGGGCTCTCGCCACACGCTCGCCGACGGGGCGGAGTGGGACGCCCGGCGCCAGACCTCGCAGGCGGCTGGCGGCAGGGCGCCTGGCAGGACCCGCGCGGCGCGGCGCCAGAGGGGAAGCAGGCAGGGGCGGATGGAGAGGGAGGGCGAGGGGCGGAGGGAGGAGGGGGGAGGGGGGCGGAGGGGGAAGGGGGTGAGGAACAAGTTAGGTGCGCTCGCGTCAACATCTGACATCCTACCCCTCCCTCCCATCCCTTACCATGGCGCTGATTTTCTCTATCCGCGGACGCGTGTCGTAGCGGACCTGTGGCTCCGCGCGCGTGTGCGTAGTGGGTGGTGGTGCGCGTGCGTGCGTGCGTGCGTGTGTGCGTGGTTGTGGTTGTTCTGGTGGAGGTGTGTATGTGTGTGTGTGTGTGTGTGTGTGTGCGTGTGTGTGTGTGTGTGTGTGTGTGTGTGTGTGTGTGTGTGTGTGTGTGTGTGTGTGTGTGTGTGTGTGTGTGTGTGTGTGTGTGTGTGTGTGTGTGTGCGTGTGCTGTGGTGTGACATGGTGTGGCGTCTTGGTGGCTTCGTGGTGGGCCAGGTGCGTACGTGCGTGATGGCGGTGGTGGTGGTGGCGGTGGTGGTGTGTGTGTGTGTCTGTGTGTGTGCGTGTGTGTGCGTGTGCGTGTGCGTCTGTATGTATGTGCGTGCGTGCGCGCGTGTGTGTGTGTGTGTGTGTGTGTGTGTGTGTGTGTGTGTGTGTGTGTGTGTGTGTGTGTGTGTGTGTGTGTGTGTGTGCGTGCGTGCGTGCGTGCGTGCGTGCGTGCGTGCGTGCGTGCGTGCGTGCGTGCGTGCGTGCGTGCGTGCGTGCGTGCGTGCGTGCGTGCGTGCGTGCGTGCGTGCGTGTCTGTGTGTGCGCGCGTGTGATGTGGCGTGACGCGGTGTAGCGTGGTGGTGGTGGGTGGGGTAGTGCGGTGGTGGTGGCGGTGCGCGGTGGTGGTGCGCGTGCGTGCGTGCGTGCGTTGGTGGGTGGAAGTGGCAGTGGGTGTGCGTGCGGCGAGGCGGGGCGTTGTGCGGCGCGGTGGTGGCGGGCGGATGGGCGCGCGAGAAAGAGGCCCGCGCTGGGGCGAGATCGCCATCCTGAGCGACGGAGGCAAACCACCGATCCGAAAATGAGGCCCACGCTGCAGCGGGAACACGATTCGGAACGATTCGGGAGCAGAAATGAGGCTGGCGCCTCAGCGAGAACAGCATTTTGACAACAAAAACGCAAGCGAAAACCCAACTCCACGGAATCATTTGTGTAAAAAACAGTACGCGGGGGGGGGGGGGCGAATACGCAAAAGACGTCATCAGGGGATGAGTAATTGTGGAGGAGGAGGAGGCCGAAGAAGACAAGTAGGAAAGGAGGAGGAAGAGGAGGAAGAGAAGGAGGAGGGAGGGAGGAGGGGGACGGAAAGGATGAGGAGAGGGAGGAAGGGGGAGGACGAGGGAGATAAGGAGGAGGAGGAGGAGGAGGAGGAGGAGGAGGAGGAGGAGGGAGCAGGAATTGGAATTGGAATCAGCCCCTTCGCGATGCGAAGTTAAAACGTCAAACAAGCCCGAACGTTCACTTCTCAGCGCCTTGGTTCCGAGACAGTTCCTCCGAAGGGCGATAGAGAGGGAAGACAGAAACATTCGCCCTGGCGCACCAGCGGGTTCTTCCGCGCTTGCGTGCACACTCCTCGAGAAAGAACGAGGCAGACCCAGCGGCGCTTCCGCCGCACCTGCACGCGCAAGCCACTCACTCACGCTGACCCAAGCCTCCGCCTGCCACGGCAGGTCAGGACGCTGGAACTCCCTCGACCGCCAGGCGGGTCACCTGGCGCGAGACTTAGCGGAGCCCAGGACCACCTCCGCAGGTCCCTTCGCCCAAGGGGGACCAGATGGCACGCACCCATGAGCCTCTCCCGACCACCTCGTGGTGCGGGAGGACCCGAGTGCGGAGATTGGCGCTGGGGCGGAGGACGCCAGTCGTCTAGTCCCTCCGCACCCACCACCCCCGCGAGTGGGTGTTTTTTTTTCGCGGCAGGCGAGGCCGTGCCCTCGAGGCCACGCTGCCCCCTCTTGCCCGAGCGGCCAGGCGGGACAGCCCGACACCCCCGGACCCGACCTGACCCACGGCGGCGCCCCGAGGGGAGGGTTGAGCGGGTTTGGTTCCCCCGGGGCCCCGATGCGCCGCCCTCTCGCCGAGGCACCCCTCCCGGGGGCAGGAGAAGGGAGCAGGGAGGAGCAGGGAAGAAGGGGGGGGGCCCTCCCGCTCCTTCTCCCGGGCTCTCGGCGGGACACGTCGGGCGGCGGTGCCGGAGGGAAGCGGGGGGACGGGGAGGGCAATCGGGGGAGCGTAAGACCCGGGTTTGCCAGGACTCGGGTTCGCCATCGTTTTTTGACGACCGCGCCTCGGATTTTGACGAGGAGGGGTTTCGTGGGATGTCTGCAGCGGGAGGCCTCGTCAAAATGCAGGCTCGGCCTCGTCATTTTTTTGACGACCTCGTCGGGTATTTCCGAGTCCCCTGTACCCAGGTCTTACGTCCCCCTGAAGGAAGCCGGCCCCCCTCGCGCCGTGCGCAAACCCCGACGGGCGTCTGCTGTTCAGCCTCTGGGGAGCCCTCGCCCGCCTCCGAGGTTTCGGGACCGCCTGATCTGAGATGTTCTAATGTTTTCCCTGGTTGCAGGCGTCTTTTCAATTTTGGATACCGTACAGCAGTTGCGCCTCGCCGAAAGCGTTCCAGGGGCGTCGGGGTCGTTGCGAACGGCTGCTGGAGAGCCGAGGGGTGACCAGGCCCCCCTGGCCTAACACGTGCGTCGAAATGTCCTCACCCCCAGGCCTAAAATTGCCAGCGAAATGCCAGAGAAATATCCTCACCCCCTTGCGTAACATTGCCATCAAAACACCCTCACCGCCCAGGCGAAAACTGCCAGCGAAATATCCTTATCCACCTGAGACCAGACTGCCATCGAAGTATCCTCACCCTGCTGGCCTAAAACTGCCAGCGAGATGTCCTTACCCCCTGGCTTAAAACTGCCAGCGAAATATCCCCATCCACCGGAGATCAAAGAGTCACCGAAATGTCCTCATCCCCTGGGCCTAAAACTGCCAGCGAAATATCACCACCCCCTTGCCTAAACCTGCCAGTGAATTACCCCCAAGCCACTGGCCTGAAACTGCCATCGAAGTATCGTCCCCCCTGAAAGATCCTCAGCCTTAGGAGATATGTCTGCCATGTAAGAGCTCGTTGGTCATTCAGTCAGTTCGGAACAGCCAGTTCACGAGAATCTGAGGACAGGCTGTGCCCGTGCTTCTTCCGGTTCCTCCTTCTCTTGGGTCCACCTCTTTCGCCATGCACAGAGAGCTGGTCCTGAGAGTAACGGGTCCCATCCCACGGTTTTTCCTCCGCTCTCGGGCTCCAGGGGCCCTCCACCGGCGCCCCAGGACCGTGAAACGACACCTCGGGATGCACGGCTGGCCCTGGGGGGCGGCCCCAGGGGCCTTCTCTCCGGCGATCGCAAACATGGATCAAGGGGGGCGTGGATTAGCGACGGGTCCAGCTTCCACGGGAAATCGCGGACTTCCGCCGCCCAGCGAGGCGGCAGCGGCCGCATTTTGGGGAGGGCACCTCCCCCGATCCATGGATTTGGCGACCGCGCGCCAAGTCTATAGATCGCTAATCGATGTTTTGCGCGTCCCCGACTCCCTTGTGCCAATGCTCCCTTTCACGGCGGGATGCCCCCCTTCGTGCCGCCTCCCCCGCTGGGGCTCGCGCCCCTTGCGCTCCGCCCTGCGGCGGCACCGCCCTCTCGCATCGCTCGGTATCGTTTCACCGGTCCGCATCCCCATCCCCATCCCCTTCGAGGCCCCCACAAAAATGACCCCCCCCCCAGTGAGGGAACGGCCCATGTCCCCATCCAGGGGGGTAAATCGGCCAGTGGGGCCCCGGCCACGCCGCCGGGGATGGGGATCGGTGAAACGCTACTCAATCGCTTCCTCACGGGCTGCCGCCGCTCACCGCAGCCTCCTCGGCTGCCCCCTCGCGGGGACGCGTCGCTGGACTCCAGCCCGCGGGAACTGAATGTTGACGGTCCAGTTTTCGTGGGATGCCTGCAGCGGGAGTTCGCGTCAGATGTCGGATCGGGTCTCACCATTTTGTTCGACGGCCCCGTCAGGCCAGCCCGAGTCCCCGGAACCCAAGTATTACGTGTCCCTGGTCGTCCACCAGTCCAGCGCCGTGCACAGGCCCGTCAGATGGTAACCATTCGGAAGTTTCCGCTCGGCTTGGAGTGTACTTGCGAATAGCGCCCAACAGCGCTCAATATCGCCAAATGGCGCCCAATATCACCCAGTAGCGCCGATGAGCGCTGAAATGGCGCCCATTAGCGCCAATTATCGTAAAGCAGCGCCATGTGAGGGAGATGCATTACATTCCTCGCTCTGCAAGCGGCGATACGGCGCGCTACGCATTGGACGACACGAGGACGACCAAAAACTTCCATGAATTTTGAGGCGTCCCAGGTGTGGTCAGAGTAGATGGGGTCGGAGGATCGCGCCACAGCGCCGACGCGTCGCTGATGCGGCTCGATATGGAGCCCTATTTTCTCCACGCCGACGTCGCCGATTCCTCGCTGACGTCGCCAATGCATGCGGCGCGATCCTCCGACCCCGCGGCGCCGGGGCATCGCGGTCGGACGGTCGGCCTCGGGTGGTGATACCCTGCTCGGCCGCCGCCGCTCATTCTGGCAGCTGTTTTCGCAGTGGTGGGCGACTGCGGGCTGCCATTTTTGGGCTGGGGGATGCCATACTCCAGTTCGCCACGCTTCTGAGGGGCCCGTCCTGAATTCTGGAAGTGACTGGTGCTTTATATGCAAGGCAAAGCGTAGGCGAACATGGCGTGACGTGCGTGTTCCGTAGCCTTCGGCTTAGGAGCTTGAGAGGAAAATCTTTCCATCCCAGGCCAATGTAGATCGCAACATGGTAGCGCGGAGGTAGAGTTCGACCCACGGACGGAATTGCGACGCTCGAGCAGCTGGCCCGGGCACTCGGAGAAGTGCGCCAGCAGCATGACCGAAAGCGAGCAGCACGGCTCGCAGCAGAACGCGGACAAGGAGGTGCAGCCAGAGGATAAGCACGGATTGATGGCGGAAGCGAGCAGCACATCGACCCGCGAGTGCTGAACAATTACCCAATTTTCAACGGCACGGGTGAAACATGGCGAGAGTGGGCATTCATCGTCGAGAGTGTGTGCAGCATGGCAGAGTTAGAAGACACCTTCGACGCAACGTCACGAGACGTAAGTTCAGCGTGTTCAGCCCATAGCAGCGGAAGAAGGCCAAGCAACTCTACTATCTCTTGGTCAACACAGTCAGAGAAAAGTGTTGACGCTGGTGAGAGGCGCGGATAAGTACAACGGCATCATTGCATGGAAGCGGATCAAAGCGGAATGTGCGCCAGACGTAGGAGGGTGATTGTTGATGGGGATATTGCAGCCAGATTGGGACCAGAGAGCGACAAGCCAAGAGTTCACGAACGACCTGACCGAGTGGGAGACCCGCATCGCGGAGTACGAGGCGGAGAGCACCGAGACGGTGAGCGACGCGATGAAGGTAGCGGCGCTGGCAAGCGATGTCCCAGAGCCAGTGCGAGCCATGGCGAGGCTCGCGGCAGGACCAGCGAACGGACGATATCGAGGTGTGCTGCAGAGTATCAGAGAGTACCTCCAATTCGACAGGGCGTCCAATAAAGATGGCAGAAGCACAGGCGTGAGCGGCGCGATGGGAGCAGCTCCGATGGCCGTCGACGCCGCTTGGAACACCAAGGGCAGCAAAGGCAAAGGCGAAGACAAGAGCAGCTGCTTCATTTGCGGACGACCAGGACCTTCGAGTGCCGACTGGAGGGCAGAGGCGAAGGTCGGGATGGGCAGGACGTAAACAGGCAAAGGAAAGGGCGGAGTGAAAGGACTCGAGACCAGGTTCGACGGCGTTTGCAAACGCTGCAGCAATAAAGGTCACACATGGGCAGAATGCAGATCACTACTCCGAGGCGATGAAGCAGCAAAGCAAGTAATATCCGTAGAAGACAAGCCAGCTACGGCGACCACTCAGGAGGTGAATGCGGGCGACGAGCACGAGTGCCAGCTGCGCGAGGACGCAGAAAGGCCCCGCGAGGACCCGGGCGCATACTGCCGGGAGATCGGTGTCCACAAGCACGCGAGATACTACGAGGCCTTCGAGGATGACGAGGACGAACCGCCAGAGGTTAAGAGCTACGACGGCTCAGTCGCACGCGGCCAGAGCGACGGCGACAGCGGCGGCGAAGACAAGTAGGTGTTCAACGTTTGGAGACAAGACCTGGGCGATGCAGGCGACGAGTTCCCCCCCTTGACAGCTCGCGCGAGGGGCGCGCCTGCCCGTGGGACTCCGCCAGTGACGGAGTTGATCTTGGACCTGGGCGCGCCCACCAAAGAGGGGCGAACGACGGCGAGGTCGAGTCGTCAAGTCGCAAGATCTTAGTCGAGTTCGTCGTGCTGGACGTCAATGGCTACGCGATTGTGAATGCTGAGACCCCATCCTTGTAGAGTGACGCGGAGAGGGCGTTGCTGAGCGTCGGCAAGCTCGCCAGGAACGGCTTCGACATGCGCTTCCAGAATGCTAGCCCCTGGCTGGGGATCAACGCCGGCCGATGACGAGCGAAGGTGCCAGCGCGCATGAAAAGACGCGCGCGCAGGCCGATGATGAAGGGGAGGCTGCCGCAGGCCAAGCCAGAGGCGATGATCGCGCCAGTCGGGGGCGAGGCGATGCCATCGGCTCCCAGAGCTGGGGCAGGATCAGGGGCAGCATCGAGTTCAGCGGCAGCACCGAGTACAGCCGTTGCATCAAGTTCAGAAGCAGCGTCGAATTCGGCAGCAGCAACGGTTCCACAGCCTGCGGCAGTCGCCGGTGCACCCCAGGCACCAGGCCCTGAAATATTTGAATGCGCTAGACTCGAACGAGAAGCAGAACACATCGCTTAGCAGCGGCTGGCAGTTCGACAGCGCGGCGAGCCGATCGGTCACGGCGGTCTCTTCGGCGGCAGCTCGGTGGGCGACGCGAGGAAGAGGTTAGGAGCTCGCGGCCCCGATCTGGGGAAACAAGCAGCAGCTATGGGTGCGCTTGGCGCATGCCGAGGCGCAGCTCGAGTTGCAGATCAGGGGCGAGAAGTGGCTCGAGGAGGGCGCGAAGGCGCTCGCCGAGTTTGGGGGCCAGGGCCAGCCATCGCCTCGCGAGCCCCAGCAAAACCGTCGTCAGAAGAGCGAGCGCGACGCGAGGTCACGTTCTTACCTCATCAGCCGTGGCGCGCATGGTGCGTCACAGGCAAAGACAGAGCCAAGCCGCGCGAGCAGTGGCCAGTGGAGACGAAGAAGCTGCCCGAGTTCGAGATGGACTTCTGCCACCTGCCGCAGGACCCGAAGAGACGACGCGGCCCAGAAATCAAGCTTGGGCGACGACGCTTGCCTTTTGTGGGCACGGCGGCGCAGCGACCCTTGGCGATGGCAGCCCCGACGAAGCTGGATGAGACCCACGACGTGGCATTAACATTCGCGGCGTTCGTCAAGACGATGGCCTACCCGAAAGCGATGCTCAAGGTGGGCCCCGAGCAGGCACTGGGCGTGGTCGTGGAGAAGGCGAGACAGAATTTGGAGGCGCGGATGAGCACGCCAATCGACCCCATCAATGGACATCTAGCCGTGGACGGTAAGACACGCTGGCTGGCTACGCGAGCGAGACCACGTGAAGGCGAACCACGAGACAGTTTACGTGGGCAGCTATGGCAAAGCGTACCAGGGAGAAGTCTTGAAGTTCGGAGAGCCGGCGCTCTTCAAGCTTTCGGTCACGGCGGCGGTCAAGGCGAGGGGCGGAGCCAGACATGGACGAGCTGACGCCAGGCCCCTGAGAGGGGTCTGGCTGGGCAAGACGCTCGGGCCCGACGAGCGCGCATTCGGTGCGGACGAGGGCGCGTTCGCCGCCAGGACGGTCAAGCGAGTGCCAACTATGGATCATAATCGGGTCGACTTGATCAAGGTGATCAAAGGCACTCCGCGGGGCAGTTTCGCAGGCCGGTCGATGGGGGGCCGAGAAGGGAGAGCACGGCGCCGCGGGCAGTGCCATTGGCGGCGCCAGGGCCGCCAGCGAGAGCCGACGGAGCTGCAGACCAGCAAGCTCCAGCACAGACGGCTTCAGGCCAGGGCCCAGCGGCGGCGGCAGCTCTAGCTCCAAATGCAGCAACAGCAGCTGGGGGAGGCAGAGACAGCGCAGCGGGCACTGGCGCGAACCAGCAGCGGCGCCTGGACAAGGTCCAGACATTAGGGCCACATCCAGCATCGAGGACCCCAGCGGCATCATCAAAGCGAAACATGGAAGAGCCGCCAGGCAGCAGGGCGCCGACTGAGCAGAGCGTGGGTGGACGAGTTGCCCACAATGGGCGCAGATGAGCGCGAGGCAGACTTCGACGACAGCGCCTGCCTAGGGACGAGTGCCAAGGCGCGCGCCCCCAGGTGGTGAAGGCTATCCTAAGGGCAAGGAGAAGGAGATTAACGCGATGGAGAAATCCGAGATCTCCGAGACCGTCGACTGCATACCAAGCGACGCGAACCTCTTGTTCACAGGGTGGGAGAACGTACCGGGAGGCCCAGACGAGTGGAGATGCAGGTTGGTTGTGAGAGAGAGAGAGTGCAAGGGAGACGACCCCGAGCTGGAAGGGCTGTTCGGGGGCCACCAGCAGCACAGGCAGGCTCATAGATAAGCACGCGGTCCAGCACGGGTGCAAGATGATGGTGTTGGATGCTCAAAACGCGTACTACCACGCCGACGAGGATGGAGAGGTGTGCGTGGATCCACCAGTGGAGCGGGTCAAGCCGCACCGCGCTCGAGGTGGCAAAATCGAGAGACAGTGTTGGCAGATGATGAAGCAGGTCGACGGCAAGCGCAAGGCCTCGAAGAAGTTCAACCAGTACGTGACGGACCATGCCAGAAGCCTGGAATCGAGCAGCGCCCCGATCAGCCCACCGTCAGGAGGCCAGGTGCCACGCGAGTCTTCGAGGTGCATCAGGGCGACATCTGCGCGTCAGACAGCGACCCGGAGTGAAAGTGGCTGAAGGAGAACTTGGCGCCAGCATTCAAGCTCCAGGAGGCAAGCATCATGAAGGTGGGCTCGACGCACTCGCACCCATGGGTGACGCGCGCGAGAGTTAGCCAGGACGTGATCTGAATAGCACCGAGGCCGAAGTACATCGAGGACACCTTGAGCGAGCTCGGACCCACCGATTGCAAGGAGGTGTCGGCTCCGATGGCGAGCTCGCGGAAGAAGGAGGACCTGCAGATGCCAGGCGCGGGCCCAGTCGACAAGAAGTCGCATTGCACATGCGTTTGGATTAACAGACATCTCCTGAAGTACGGGCCAGATATCCCACTCGCAGCCCATGGGTTGGGCAGGTCGTTGAGTGCCCCGAGAGATCCAGATCCAGATTAGCAGAGGCTCAGGCGGCTGGCAAGGTATCTGAAGGGCACGGCGGACAACGGCGCCCTAGTGACGAAAAGCAGCGACACAGGGTACCTGGACGCCTGCTCAGGCGCGGACTGGGCTGGAGACGTGGACGAGAGGAAGAGCGCATCAGGGTGTGCCCTAAAGTTTAGTTGCGCGAATCTCAGGGAGTTCACGACGGGCCAGAGTTGCCCAGCATTCTTCGGCGAACGCGAGCACTGCGCGGTGGTGACCGCACTAGCAGAGGGCCTCCACACGCAGAAGCAGATGGAGTTCATTGGGTTCCCGCTAGAGCTCAAGCTCAGTCTGGATTCGACGGCGGCCCGAGAATTATTCCATGAATCGGTTGTGGAGCGCCCGAGCACATCGAGGCGATGCTGCTGCGGTTTCAGGCCAAGTATGACGAGAAGAAGATCGATATCCACAAGGAGCCGATTGTGACCAACGCGGCGGGCGGTCACACCGAGGCATTGCCGACGGCGTAGTTTTGGAGCGGAGAGCGAGACCCGGCATGGTTTGGCAACGGCGACGGGCCCGATACCAGCAAGCGCGAGGCGCTCAGTGGCATCGGCAACCTGCGGGCGAGTGCAGGCAAAGGGCCGAGGGCATTGCTGGCGGCAGCGACGGTGCTCAGCAGAACGAAAGCAGAGACGCAGATAGCGATCAGAGCCAGCTTCGAGATTGACAGTCTGACGACGCTGGCAGGATGCACGACAGCTCAGTTCAGTTTGACGACGCCATTCGCAATCTTGATGATCGGCTTTGCGGTGGGCCATGTGACGCGCCGCCACGTGGCCAAGAAGCTCGCGGGCGGATTTACGCGGCAACTCCCTTGGGGCCGCCGGGAGGGGCGGGCCAAGGAATCCTGAGCGAGAGACAACAGGCGGACCGCGGGCATGCAGTCAATGTCGACTTTCGCCAGACACCGACAGCAGCCGCGATTCGCGCTGACGCCTGCGGGGCGCGAGGGCCGCTGGAACTCAGAAAGGAGGCTCGACGAGGAGAGTGAGTGGAGGCTCGAGCGGCTGCGGCGAGAACGAGTCTGGCCGGCGTACAGGCGGCGACTTTTCAGACGAGGTGTGGGAAACACTTCGGCATGACCACCGCAAGCTACAGGTTTGCCGAGGGGGCGCGTTGGTGTTTTACACGCAAAGCAATGCGTAGGCGAGCATGGCGCGACGCGCCGTGTTCCGTAGCCTTCGAGTGGAACATCTTCCTGTCCTAGGTCAATGTAGATCGCAACAGAAACTCTGCTTTTGTGGGACGTATTCGGCGGGTGCTGGCGCGCCAATCTCCAGACCGAGTCTTGTACTTGCCTGACGGCCGCGTCGAGCCAACCAGAGGCCCCCCCCCGCGCGATTCCTCGGTCGAGGTCTGGACGCCGCAGTTCTGCCACGCCGTGCCCCCCGCGCCCGGCTTCGGGCCCCCAGGCCGTCGCATGTCGATCGCAGGCCTAGAGGTGAACAGTTAAACGATCCCCATCCCCTTCGAGACCCCCACCCCAGTTGGGGATGCACCCCTCGAAACCCGAAGAGAAAGACCTGTCTCCTGTTCTAGGGGGTACATCGGCCAGTGGGGCCCAGACCACGCCACTGGGGATGGGGATCGGTTAAACGATACTCACTCGGACGAAGATCCCGATCTCGGCGATGGTGGTAACATTCGGGCTGCCATGGCGACCGACATATTACCGCCAACGCCGAAAGCTAGGAACAGTTGTTTCCTGAGGAGGCACCACCCTTGTGTCGGTGTTGGTGCCCGCTTCCAGGCCTCCAAGTATGAAATCCGGTTCGACAGATGCCGCAAACAAATGGGGCCAAAGGTTTCGGCCGTGGTTTTTCGCGGTGCTGCTTTTTCTTGCAAGGTCGGAGGTGCGCGCGGATTTGGCGTTGGACCCCCCTCCCTGGCGAGCGGGGCGCGCTATGGAGGTGCTGCCCGAAGCGTTGCCACGGGGGCGCGGTGCCGATCCAAGGAGTCTGGCCCGAGAGTGGACAGTACTCTTCGTACGTTTGTTGCAATTCTGCCACCCGTCGGCCCGAGCCTGGTGACCGTTGTCTTCCTCCTCCTCCTCCTCCTCCTCGTCCCCTTCCTCCTCTTTCCCTTTCCTCCTCCTCCTCCTCCTCCTCTTCCGCTTTTTCCTCCTCTTCCTCCTCCTCTTCCTCCTCCTCCTCGTCCCGCGGGGACGAGCGTTCAGAGCACGCTGTCGCCCGCGCCCTCGGTCAGGCTCGGCGGGGGCCCCAGGGTTTCCGGGGGGCGACGGAGGCGGTCGTTGAGTTGACGGTGGCGGTCGTTGGGTTCCTTCGCTTGCCATCCTGCCCGTCGCTTCTCTTTTGGTCTCGTCCTTTTTTCTCTGTGGTATCTATGTGGATTGACTGCGATTCACGTTGACTGGTTGCGGGAACGAAGAGGCACCACTCAGCCACGCGCAGAGGGGGGGGAAGGTTTCTTACAAGCACCCCTGCTTCTGAGAAGGCGCGGTCCTCATCGATGGATGTGTTCACCACTTGAAGCCGGGGAATGCCGCAGCTGGCCGCGTCGGAATCCCCATTCCGTAATCCTCGCGGCTCAAGCAGGCCCCCTGCTTATGCAGTTTCTTCGGGCTCGCGCGCGGTGGGCCCAGGCTCCTGCGCCCTGCCCGGAGCGCGCCCCGGTGGTGAACTGCCCCTGCCCGCCGGGGGAGCCGACCCAGGTGCGGGAGGTCTACCACGAGCGGGCGAACCCGTTCGAGCAGGCGGTGGCGGTGCTGGCGGTCCTCCCACCGGGCGTCGCGGACGGCGGGTAGCTCAGCGTGAGACCGCCTCGGGAGCTCTGCTGTGAGCGCAGGGGATCACGGGTCGGAGGGTCGGCACCCGCGCCAGCAGCGGAGGACGCTGACATCCCGGCCCTGGCCAGGCAGCAGGTAGCTGCGGCGCGCCAGCGCCAGTCGCTCTCCTTGCAGCGATGGCGGCGCCCGCCGCTGGAACCCACCCACTCGGGCTACATGAGGGGGATTTCTTCGCGATCAGGTATAACGTCGGCGGCCCAGACCGTTGGCATTTGAGGTGCTGCGCAGGAGCAGTGCCAGCATGCGCGGCTAGGGTGATCACCCCAGACTTGGATGAGTACGAGGAGGACCTCACCATCGGAGCGGATGCGCTGGACCTGTGCGCAGTCGGAGGCCCTGGCGGAACCGTCGGTCACGCACGAGCGGGCGCTTCGTATTGCCGCTTTCGGGCGGTCCCGATGCCGGCGCAGTTGACTGTTGCTCGAGTTGCGGGCTACATGCGTTTCGGCGCTCCTCCGCTGGCGGGACTGGTCCACATTCGGCTGGGAGGCCACCCTCCGGTCGGCGCTCCTGGAGGGGGTGCCGCGCCGGGCAGGCCTCCAGCCGCTGCGGGAGGCGCGGCAGCAGGTGCGATCGGCGGGCTCCCTGGTGGGGCCCCTGTTCCTGGGGCTGCCCCCGCGGCTGCTGCAGCGGCCAGCCCCTCTCAGCTCTTGGCTCCTGCTGACGACGGCGGAGTCGTTGCCGCAGGGCGGGGCCTGCCCCTGGAGGAGGGCTCGCCCGTCTTGCCGCATCCCTGGAGCCCGCCAGTCTTGGCGGAGGAACCGCTGCCCCTGCAACCCCTGCGCCCCCCGCTGGAGGCGGGGCCCTCGCCCTTCCCAGCTGCTGCAGCAACTGCGCTTGTACCTGTCGCACCTGTTCCTGTGCCTGCCGTTGCTCCTAGCGGTGATGTTCGCACGCGCGCTGTCTCGCACGACGGGGCCAGCGCAAGATTTCGCGGCTTTCGCGATGCAGTGGTTTCTTTTTTCCGGGGGATCCCTTGCCAGGCTGGCCAGTGCGTGGCCCCAGAACGCGCTTGGGTTTGCAAAATTATAGCCTCAAGTGGTGGTACACCACTGGGGCGGCATAGTTCATGGCGGTCTGATTGTAGGCGTCAGCCCAGAGATGCGGGGGTCGAGACCCATGAGGGCGCATGCAGGTTTTTAGAGACGATCGCGTTTCTTGATCAGCTCAATCTTCCACTTAGCGGCCGCTGAGATCGTGGCGAGAGGGCCCCAGGCGGCGGAATAACATCGCGATAAGGTCTGTGGCGGCGATGCTGACGACAGGCTGGCCGCGCACTTGGCCCGTGGAACAGACTTGGCGAGAGGCAACCCATGCATCATGTGAGCCCTGCCCAGCGAGTGAATAGCGGCAGAACTCTCGAAGGAACGCTCGGCCATGAAGGAGCGCCGCAAAGCGCGCGAGGAGACGGCGCTGGCGCGCCCGAAGAAGAGCGCCAAGGAGCAGGGGCGATGTCACCCCGGCCAGCGGAATCTCCTGCTGGCCCTGCTGCACGAGAAGAATTAGGTTGTTCAGGGGCAGGTTCGCAGTGCCCAGGACGGCGCGGATATGCGTTTCCTTCGCCGCTGCCCAGCTTCCGCGCGCGCCGCCAGAACGGCGGCCAGCGCCTGTCTCGCGGCACGTTCCGCGAGTTGTTCGTAGCTCGCGCG